GTATTGTTATCGACTGTGTGTGAAGATTAATAAATATCATTTTGAAATACTCTCACGGAGTAACTTTTGCGTTTCCTTCGAAAGTCGCGGAAAACGATTTAAATCTCCGATCCCCTTTTTCCTTTAACTATTAGAAAGAGTTCACAACGACTGATCATCGTTGTTCCCTCATTCTTAAAATAGTTTTTGGATAACAATTGATTAATAATAACTTTTTTGAACGGAAGTCATTGTTACTGAATTTCACCTGTATAAACCAAGATTTTGCAACAAACAATCAATACATGGTTTCTACCGCTTTTTTTGTGTTTTCACGTTTTAAAAATAATCTTGAACCTTCTAAATGTCGAAATAAATTAATCATATGTGTATAGAGAAATGATTTTGGAAAATCGGACGAAACCGCACTCGCACAATAGCTTCAAAAATAAATCTGGAAAAAACAATTAAATTAAAATTGTTTTGGGTCAAGGCCAATTATATATCATTCGAAAATATTGCTGCATCGAAAAGTTAAAAAATCAAGTTTCATCTAGAATTCTTTATTAATTTGAATAGAAAATTGAGACTGCTCGATGAACCTTGATTTTTTATTACTTTTACACTTCAAATATTTGTTCATGCTGTTGGAAAACATCGCACACTATACTTCGACGTCCACTATTGACATTTTCTATTTACATTAACTGCAGGGATTCTGAATAACGAAATTCGATTTTGCAAGACGATGAAAAATGCGTTTAAAAAGTCAAATTTCTGATCGAATGTCAATTTTTTCGAACTCAAGCAAAATCAGAAGAGTCCGTGCGAGGGACGAAATCTCTCATTGACAGTCTCCTGAAACAAAAATTTGGCAATATTCGATTTTAAAACATAATAATGAGCGATAATTATCGAAAAAAGAAGGGACTCACTTCCCCAGCCGATGCATTCCCCGGAAGCAGCAAGTTCCTTGTCCAGATATTTTTCCAGAGGAGAAAAGTAAGTCCTCAGAGGCTTTGCAGTCATGCTTCTTTGGCCTGTGATTATTTGCATCACATCTGGCCATGGCAGAGACGAACCTTGCCTCAAGCCCTCTCTGTATATAATGTAGGTTTCAAGACAAATAGTTTGAATATTTCTCCGTTCATTAAAATAATATAAATCCCTATCCAATAATAACCTGAAAACGTCTCCAGCGTCGAGGTTCTGGTAAAAATCGCAGCGATGAAGCGGCTTTTTCGGATTGTTGGGTTCGTATTCTTTCGCGATTTTGCACAACGCCTCGTAAAATTGAAACTGGTTCATAGTACTCACGAAGTACCTTGATGATGTAATTTTTAAAATACCGTTATATAGATGCCTATTGAACACGATTTAAGGATTTTTTTATACCGACATTATATATTGATACCCCGATGCGACGTGGAATTTCGCCCCTGGGTCCAAATCCTCTTCTGTTCGTGGCACTGGTGCTTTCACGCCTTGGATTTCTTCTCTCAGTTTCCACCAGTGAGCATTCATTTGATCCACAGAAGCGATTCCCTTGAAAAGATCCCTAAAAATTGAACAAGAACAAATTTTGAACGTTTGTACGTATATAAGGATCGAAATCATCCCATTCTTCATGCGTTGATGCTGGCTAAATTTTGATAAAATACAATTCATGTTGCAAAAATAAATGGCAAAGGTATAATTTGTCATGCTAATCAACAGATACAAGAATTTGAATTCTCCAAAAAACGTGTCCTTGTACATCTTTGTGAGAAGTGGGAGAAACTCCGGTTTGCATGCCTATTCTTGAAACCTCCAAGGTTTGCATCATTTCTAAAATTCAGGAAAATCCAAAACTGTTATTTATTCTTGAAGGATAGTTTTCCTTTTTCACTATTCACACTCACTCTTTTTCAACACATTCCATTTCAAGCTCTTGTGTGTGATACTCAAGTAAATTTGCAAGATTTGAAAAGTGTTTCTATATTCAGAGTCACTGTACAACACCTTTAATGTCCGCAGTGGGAGGAACAACCAGTAGGATCCTACAGGGGTCTGGGGGGGGAATAATAAGGACGTCGTGTAATGTGTGTCTGTGGCCTGTTTGTTTACTGTTTGTTTCTTACATGAAAAAAAAACGCATTCAGTACATTAAGTTGTCAGGATGGTTGAGTGGTCTAAGGTGCTGCGTTCAGGTCACAGTCTGGTTCTGCAGGCATGGGTTTGAATCCCACTTCTGCAATTTTTTTTATTTTTTGTTTTTTTTTGTCCGCACTGCGGACGCTCTACTACTTGTAATAAGGTGGAATTTCACCCCAGTTGTAGCCTGACCAAATCACTTAGTTTCATTTACTCATTTTTCCTTGAACATTTCTAACAAGTCAGCCTTGTTTAGAATATTTTCCAAGTTTGAAAAGGGAAATAAATCAATTTTAATTTGATATAATCTGAAGACATATTACCTCATACAATGAATGAACCAAGTTACAGCAGGACCCCAACATAAGGGAGAGCCATTTAAAATGTGCTGTGTGTGAGGAAGAGCAAATTTAAAATTTGTTTTATTTTTCCAAACTTGGATATCCTTTGAAAAAATTGACCCATTTTAACACATGAAATTTCCACTCAAAATTACCCATATATATTCACAATGAAAAGCAGGCTACATTTGTTCTTGTGTTTTAGAATTTTTTATTTTCATTTGTGCACAGTATATCTTAATTTGTTCTTGTTTTTTGCTTCCTTCTGATGTAAAAGATCAAATTTTGTGTTTTTTGTAGTTATTTTCTGCATCTTGAAGTGGCGAAAAAATTATTCATTTTTTGGGACTTCATTCCTAATTTTTAATGAACAGGAGAACTATTCAAATATATTCCCATCAAATTCTATGGTAAAATGTGATCAAAATACAGTATAGAGAAGCTCCCACATAGGGATAAGGCCTAGCACAAATATTACGTCCGCATTTCGGGGCCCCACTTACTTCGTCACTATACAAGGTATTTAAAACAATTAATGTGGGTTCAAGGACTCTCTTTTTTTTCTTTTTATATTAAAAAAAATGTCGGAAAACATGAAGGGTGTTGCATGGGTATATGTGTGTGCAAGGAAACCCGAACCATCTCCATTTGTCGACAATGTATCCGAAAGGAATGAAGGCAATCCTGTCCAGAGCAACTTTCATCAAGTAATTCACGTCCAACTCGTCTTCTTTGAAAAGAAGCAGACGTTTGTGAGCTTGTGTCAATAGACCGACTTTTCTCAAATGCTTCACTGTTGACACCGACAGCGACAACGTGTCCCCGATGGCTTCGTGAAAACCTGGGGGGAAAAAGCGAGCAATGATGATTATTAAATCGATACCAATTTAAAAAAAAAAAACCGCCGTGGTGTTGGACTTGCCGGGATTTGCACCATCCCGGAATTGGCGCGGCTGGTGTCGGTATTGCATAAAATATTGAATGTGTCCCATTTCATGATGTGCGGTGAGAAAGTCCTCGTGGTTTTTTTGAGTACACATCTTGATTCTGCAAAATAGAACCTGAATCTATTCTGCTGTTTTCAAGCATGAGCACAAATGCAATCATAGTACAGTAAAACGTGTTTTTGATTGTACATGGAATTGATTATTTCATTAGATCTTTGCAGTGCGCCGAATCGTGTCAAGAAATTTCAAATGGATTGAACCACACCAAAAACTTTTCTGTGCCTTGAAAAATTGCTCCAAAATTTGCTTTCAATTTCAGTGAAACAATCTCGAGAAAATATCTTCAAATGAGCTTTTTTGTTGAAGCAGCAGTCTTTTTTGTTTTTCAAATGTGTTCAATGATTTGAAATATGCGGAGATCTTGGTTTTTATTTCACGCAAGGACCCAAAAGTTTTCTTTTGGAGACCATCTGGTTCAGCTTGTGACAAGGCTGATTATAACCCTATACAGTATGTACCCGTGTTGAGAATGAACAAGGTTTCAAATCTCTTTTCAAAATAAAGAATACAGCAATCAGCCAGGCTATGGCTGGGATGCTTGACACCCTAGTGGCCTAGTGTATAGTTGGTATATTTGGCAAAATGCAAGAATTTCACAGCAATCAATTGCAAATGGGAGTTTCAATGTCTTTTGTGTGAGACTGCCAAACAGTGACTGATATCAAAACAGAGTAGTTCCAACAGTTAAAAACCTTTCCTGGTGAATAGCGTATTTACTGGAGTACCATGCACCCTTGAGTAAGGCACGCACAGGGGTTTTTCATTTGGAAATTTTGCTAAAACCTTATCCCCAAGTAAGATGCACACCCCAATTTTTAGTGAATCTAAATCCACAAAATTTCAAAAATAACAACAAAAAATTTGACTTTAGACATGAATTGAATAAAAATCTGATCAATTTTCAACTTTTTCAGTATAAACAAGTTTTCTTGGTACATCTGTTCCAAATTTCTCCATTATAATTAAGGATAATGCACACATAACTTCCTAAAACTTCTTGAAAAATGTGTACCCGCTTATGACGCGCACCCCTTCTTTTCTTCTGAAATTTGAGAAAAAAGAGTGCATGATACTTGAGTAAATACGGTATTTTTTCCCTGAGGACTGAATGATGCTGAAAAAATCCCAAGGATATCCAAAACCCTCACGGGAACTTGAGGTCAAACTTGGTCCCATGAAATTCCTGATGGATTAGGGTTCTTTCACAAGCTTAAATGATACTCCTCCTTTTGAATTTGTATTTCTAAGTTCCAATATTATCCTATTTGCATTTATAATTCCCAACAACCTAGAAAATTTGAAGTCTGTAGCTGTGGGTTTGGGCATAAATAATTTCAGATTAATGCAAAACCAAAACAAAACTTGGGCAAATGTCTTCATTTGCCATGACAAATCTTTCTCTTATTGCGCAGATTATCTACTGTAGTATTGTATGTACTTACCTCTCCTTCTGCTGTAAATATTTTCTTCAAATTTTCGGTGTGCTGGGCAGAACATTTTTGAACAACTTTCACTCAGCTAGTTTTGAGGAATAACTTACCTTAACACAAATATGAAGGAAATTGCTAGTGGATCAAATATGTAGAATAAAGGAAAGTTCAAAAAATTGGAGATAAAAGATAGAATCAGCCTGGGACGAGGCTGGGAATCCTCTTTTAGGATTTACTAGTTTAAATTGGTTGAAATATATTTCAGTATGTCCCAAAAGAACAGTTTTTAGCAGACGACACTTTTTAACAACTCAGCAGAACCGTTTGATTGGGAATTTCGTACACCTTTTCACAGTAGAAGTTCTATATCAAATGCAAGCTTTGTTCTTTGGTGAATGACAAGAATAACGCGGAAATCGATTCTGGTTTTCTTTGTGTGTTTCTGGTGTTGCATGGTTCTCCTTGAGAAGTGGTTTTTCTTCCCTTTGAGGGCTGGTCATTTTATCAGATGCTAGGTTTTAATAAATTAATGTTACATGGTACGCGGTTCCCCCAACAGCTAATATTTAACGCG